TATTTATTTACTAGCTGAGTACCCGGCTTTGCTCGGGGTCGACGCCTTGGCGTCACTGCTCCTTCTAGTCTACGCCGCAGAGGCATTTTACATTATTCTACATTGCTGTCTAGCCTTTCACAGTCACACCTGGCTTCTAGATCTATATTGCTTTAGATTAGGTCTGCCTTGATTAAGTCCTCTCTTGATCTACATTGCTTTAGTGTATTGCTGTCTACCCATTCACAATCACAAAATACGGGTTTCGCCTTACACCATCACAAAAAAGCACTAAGAAAATAATAATCCACGAAAGGACTGCTTCACTGTAAAAGGAACACACCGATATCTTCAAAATCACTGAGGCATTGTCTATAGCTTGTTCACTTTCCTCTGACAGCGTTAAAAAAAATTCTAGCTCACTGACAAATTTACCTATGCCTACGAAACTTTGAATGGCACCTCTACAGGCTACCGAACAAACAAAACTATTTTTTCATAAAAATTTTGACCCAGTAATAAAAAAGTTTTTCTCTTTGGACCCTATATTAAAAACAACTCTCTGGATGCGGACACAGGATCATGTCTCCTTGTACTACAGGTGAGTCTCGAAAATTACTCACCCCACCTCTTGAATCCTGTTTCTTAGGCGAACGTTAAAGAGCGCTAATGAACTTCCGTTGTGAAGGAGAGCTACTCACATTTGTTTCGTTTTTCAGTAGAATAATCACAAAGGCTAAAGAATGATGGGAACTTTTTGTCAAATATATTTTTCTGAATTCAGGAAATAAATGAATAAAATATCGGGCTCCGTCATGGGGACCTATTTATCTTTTTGCAGGTACTTGCCAACTTTCAACTCTGTAGCTGTTGTAGTTTTATGGGACACATTATGCGTTTCCAAGTTGCCAAATATATTATAATAGATATCTAAATATGAACTGCCCCCACCCTTCAATCACTCGCTCCTCCTCCTCTGTGTCGTCAACAACAGACGTGAGGGTTGACCACAATATGTGTGTCTGTCGGTCACACGCCACTCAGCGACTCTCCACGTCACTCAGCTTGACGGTGGACTTAGACATGTGTACTTAGACTGATTGATAACGCCCCAATTTACGGGTCGCTGATGAGCGTGTCGTAAAATACGGTAAATAACGGGACCCGTCAGAGGCTGGGAGGTATTGGAGTAATAAATTAGTGTCACGACGTGGTGGAATCAGGCGCTCGTCAATTTTTTAGCATAAGGAGTTAT